CGTAGAGGGAAAAGCATTTTAGGAAGAGGGACAAGCACATATAAAGGTTTTTAGGCAAAAAAGTAGCTTTGACCAGTTCAGAAAACTGGAGCAAGAATCAATATGTCTGGCTCTTAAGGTATGACATGAAATTGGAAAGTAGGCAGGGACCTGGTATAATATGTTAAGGATTTTGGATTTTGTTCTGAGGGCAATGGGCAGCCATTGAAGGATTTGCATGCAATAGCTTATATTTTGGAAAGGTCTCTTTGACTGCTCTGAGGAGAAAGAACTGGAGAGAGGCAAGAGAGAACTAGGGAGATGAGTAAGGAGGCTTTCACAATTGATCAGGAGATGACAGTGCCCAGTAATGATAGTGAACATAAAGAACAGAAAACAGATTGGAGGTTTATTCCGGGGGTAGCATTGACAGGACTTAGTGACAGGTTGGGTTGAGGGTGTCAGGAGAGGGAAGAGGAGCTGTCAGGGATGATTTTCAGAATACTTTGTTGGAGTGACTTGGTAGATTGCATAGATGGTGGGGTAGGTTTTTTGAGGGGTAAGGGATGAGGTAAGAGTTCAGTGTGGAGCATGTTTACCTTGCAATATCTGTAAGATTACTAAGGGGAGACATTGAATAGATGAGGTCTGTTACTCAGAAGAGCTACCCGTCTGGGACGGAGATACACATTTAGGAGTCGTTGGCACGGGTCGTGCTGCAGGCACTATGGATGGATGAGATTGGCTGTGGAGAGAATCTGGAGAGAGAGAGAGGAACAGAGAGTCTAGGACTGAGCCTTGAGGAATTCTGACATTAAACATCAAGCAATGCTCCCTGAGAGGATGCAGTGGAGCAGTGAGGGGGAAGACTAGGAGAATGTGGGGTTGCTGGGAAGCCAGTGGGGGTGAGTGTCAAGGAGGAAGGGATTGGCTGTATGGAATGTGCTGAAAGGCCTAGTAAAATGATGACTGGAAAGTGCCCATTGGATTTGGCAACATGGAGGCTCCATATGATGGTGGGAGAAGGGGATTCAGTGCAATGGTGGAGGTGCATGACTGACTGGAGTGAGCAGAAGAATTGGAAGGGATGGAGAATGAGAGTGTACACAACTCATTATAATCTTGGCTCTGAAGAGAGAGGCCAGTGCTGGAGGGGAATGTCAAGTGAAGGGAGAGGTTTTTGTTTCCTTTTAACAAGGGACATTCTAGAGTTTATTTGAATGTTTATGGACATGACTTAGTAGGAGGGAGAGCTCTAGTGGTCCCATTGATGATGTTTGATTGGAAAAGGAAAAAAAGAAAGAAGGAGAGGCAGGTAGGCTTTGCTGTCTGCTCTGTGTTGAGTATGTACTAGGTACTATGCTAAGTGGTTGGCACAGGGACTTAATATTCACAATATTCAGTACTGTGAGTTGGTTGGTATGATTATCCCTATTTTACAGATGAGGAAACGGGGGTTAAGTAGAGGTAGAGCCAAAGTCTTGATCTAGAACTGTTTGATTTCAGAGCTTGGACTCAGCTCTGACTTACACTCTTGGAGGATTTCCTTTGTGGTGGTGTATTAGTCAGTTTGCTAGGGCTGCCATCACAGAGCCCCACAAGCTAGGTGGCATAAACAACAGGAATTAATTTTCTCACTGTCCTGGAGGCCAGAAGTCCAAGACCAAGGTGTCGGCAGGTTTGGTTGCTCCTGAGGCCTGTCTCCTTGACCTGCAGATGGCCACCTTTTCCTTGTCCTCACATGGCCTTTTCTTGTACATGGATCCCTGGTGTCTCTCCTGTATCCTAATGTCCTCTTCTTATAAGGGCACCAGTCACACTGGATTAGAGCCTACTCTAAGGGTCTTAATTTTGACTTAATCACCACTTTAAAGGCCTTAACTTTTGACATTAAGCCTTCAACATATGATTTTGGGGGTGGGGGCCACAACGCAGTCCCTAACAGAGGGCTTCTGTTTTCTTAAAAGTGTAAGGAAAATAGTGGGTGTGGGGGAGTTTTGGAAAATATGGAGAGGGATGAAACAGTGATTGGAGAGGGTAGAAGAAGGAGCTTACTAGAGAAATGTAGTCTGCAGGTCAGTTGAGCTTGGAGATCGTTTGCTTATATCTCAATTATCTGAGCTTCTGAAGCAATATTCAGGTATATTGTTGAGTAAAGAATAAGGCCTCTGTGCTGCAATGAGGCTGCTGGTTGCTCACATGAGCTTAGCAACCAGCCAAATGGCCATTTTGTGTGTGTGTGTGTGTGTACAAAGTTGAAAGGTAAATGAGTTCTATTCACATCCTCAGCACAATTACAAATTACTGTATGTCAGGGACCTTTCTGGATGTTCTCCAATAGTTGAAAACATGAAAGTTAAATAAATCTACCTAAGATTTTGTTGCATTCGCCAATGTAAAAATTAGCTTGAGCATTTTTCCAACTGGTTCTAGAAGTTGTCTTTCATGATTACTCATCACTATCTTTTTTCTTCTTTCTCTCTTCCCTGTTTCCATCTTCACTCGTCAGTTATTTATTGGCCATCTAGATGTCTGGCATAGGAATAAAAAAAGTCAGCAATCTAGTGTGAGAGACAGAGATGTATATAGGCAGAACCCCCTCTCCCCCTCAGCGATAAGGGGTATTATCAAAGTGATAATTCATTTGTTCATTTATCCTGCAAATATATCAAGTACCTACCAAGTGCCAGGGAGTGTGTTAGGCTTGGGATAGAGACAGGAGTCAGATACAGTTTCCGCCTTCAAGAAACTGACAACCTGGTATAGCAAACAAACAGGTAAGTAAATAAAGACAATGCAATGTGACATTTGTAAAATATTAAGAGGTCTCAAAGTAGGGAGTGATTCTTATCTCTGTTCTCCCTTGCATGTTTGGATACCTGTTGAAAGGAGCCACTGCTGCATTTTAACAAAAGGAACTTTAAAAAGAATATTCATTCATTTCACACACAGTTTTAAATGCTTGTCGTTGTTGTGTCGTGACAGTTTTGTACCTCTTGAATTATGAGCAAGCATTGAGTTTGGGATCTATGGCTTTTTTCTTCACATGAGTTTATTGTCCACAGCCTGTACCATCGACACCTTTTTTAGGTGGTGGAATGATTAATGGTATTCCTGAAATACTTGACAGAAATCTGCTGAATATTAAAGCTAGAGGAAAGTCATAGTAACAAAGCATTACTGTGATGGTGGGTGAGCAGAAAGCCTATGCTGCTTAGCGCAGATCTCAAATATCTGGGACTTGGAACTATATATTTTAATATGGGGGTTCCCTGTCATATGATTTTTAAAAAGGTGGTGAACAGCACTGAGATCAAAAACACTGAGAAGAAAATGGGTTTTTATAAATTATGTAACTGAAACAGTTTCAAGTATCACTTCTTTTTACTTTATCTCAGGAAGAAAGTTATTTACAACCAAATACTTTTGGGGTTCGTTGAGACAATGGATATAAACTTGTTGCTTTCTTCAGAGGTGATGTGCTATACAAACTTAAGGTATTATTATCTGGAATCTAGACTTATTTTTGTGGGGAAGTGCTAACCATATTATGGAAATAGTGCAGGTAGTAGGAGGGAGAAGAGGCAGATTTGATCAATGGTATATGTGGGATATAGAATCAATGATTAACTAGTAACAGCTGGGAATTGAGTTGCTTTGATATCAAGCAGCGAACACCCACTATCTGCATATTGATGTCATCTGAGAGTCGTATTCTAGAGTATGTCACAGTGGAAAGAGCACAGGATGGGGGCGAGGGGTGTAATTTCTGACCTAGCTCTGCCATTGACAACCTGTGTGCCTCGTTTTCCCCATCTTTAAAATGAAATGGTTTTGGGAAAAGGCCCCTAAGGTCCCTCTAGTTCTGATATTTCATCATTCTGTGATTCTACGTCCCACACCTGTCAAAAGCATGTGACTTTTCTTAAGTTGCTTACGCCAGCATTTCAGTTAGAATGCATCCAGGAGCTTGTTTCCATGGGCTGTTGGGAACAGCAAGATCTTGCTTCTCCAGGACTTGATATGTCTTCTGTTAACTGCTGACAGTGAGCCATACCACCTAAAAGGCTCCCTTGGTAGCCGTAAAGATTGAAAGGACAAAATGGACAGTGTTGAGAGCTCTGTGGAAGAGGAGACCTGAGAGACGGTGATCATCATGGCCCCTTGGGATTTGCAAAGAGGAATGACTAGAACTGGGCCATTCACTGCAGCCAGGTCAAAGGTCAGGTCAGGAATGTGGACAATGCTGGTGACTCCAGGTAGGTCTAGGAGGGTAAACAAGCCCATTTAGTCCCTCCTGAATCTTGAAGATCTGAGCAGCCATGCTCAGAAAAGCTATTAGGAAGTCTCCTAATTTATGAAACTCCTTGGAAGAAAAATGTGACATGCATTTTTTATATTTTTATTACCACCCAATCATTATATTCTTACTTAATGCTCACCAAGTTACTCTCCTCTTAACATATTCTCACAGTTCAAACATTCATTAAACACGCTACATGCTTTTATGATCACTGATTGAGTTAAAAATCTGGTTTTGACTGATGCCATTGTGCAAGAGAGTCTCTATATTTTAGGATTTTTGGAGTGTTGTTGAAAGACCTTTGAGTTTCCTCCTTCAGTTTTAGTTCAGCAATCTTAAATATAATTCTCTGGTGGCAGAGATTTATATCTATTATTATTTTGCTAATAATAAGCTAGCTGGGGGGTGATTATAAAATGATTTGGAGTACTGCCTTTCTTAGTGATAAAAAAAAGTAATAGATAATTTGTGAATAGGATATTAAGCCAGATAACTCAAAAAGTTTTGTGTGCTTAATACAATGCTAAGAAATTAAAGGTCTTTTAAATGGTTTCTATCATGGAATTCCAGTAAAAATTTAACATATTTTCCATAAAATATTAATTAAATTCCTGTATCTAATCATTAAAAAAAATCAACAAACTGTGTACCTAATACATATTACAAGATGATTTTTCTTTCTTTTTTTTTTTTTTGTTTTGCTTTTATCTAGTTGCTTCCAAGATCCGGTACTTACAGGAATATCATAACCGGGTTCTTCACAACATTTATCCTGTACCTTCAGGGACAGATATTGCAAACACCCTGAAATACTTTTCTCAGACCTTGTTAAGGTAAGCTTTAAAATATCCTCTACTTCGAAAGAATTATTAGGTAGTACTGCTGAATTGATTGGGACCTAAACTTTTATCGAACTCAAAGTTTTGAAGGGCCTTCTGTTTTCTTGTGCTCTGCCAGAAGAGTCTGGACTCAGGTTCTCTGGGTGTATATAGCAGATCAGATCACAGGCCTAACTGGAAAAAAAAAAGGGTTGCATGGCTACAGTCTGCTTTCCCTCATTTTACATCTTCTCAAGAGATTTGTACAGTGATAAAAGGTTCATGTCACACACTAACGTAGAGTGGGGTGGGAAGGAGAATTTACGTTGCTAAAATTAAGAATAGGAGACAGTCTTCAAGAAAATCAGAATTAAGTAGCGTTTTAGGTTCATCTGTAGTATTGTAGTATTTCCTATTTCTTGAAGTACGATCTATGGGAATAACCATCTGTGCCACTTCAAGTGTTCAACATGCTTGACAATTGATGTGGACACTCTGTGCGGGACAAGGATAGGAAAACACATCCTGGCCGCTTTGATTGTGACACAGAGATGGGAGGCAACTATCTCCTTCACAGTTCTCATTAGGAAAAACAAGTGGATGGAGGGGAGCCACTCAGGTGTTTGGGAAATCACAGTGAAGAAGGGAGAGGAGCACTTCCCTTTCCTTTAAATTCTAGGCTCGATCTCTCCATTAGTGACCATGATCTTCGCGCTTCAGATCTGATTTTTGGAAACACAAAAATTGACTTGCTACTGTTTCTTTTAGCAACATTTTTGTGAGATAGGGATTCAGGACAGAACACCAGTGGGGAATGAGGGGCGTGGCCCTGGTGGTCCTGGAGGTCCCAGCGGACTGAGGCTCAGCCTTGGGCTTTGCACAAAGAAGCTTCATGCCATCAAGTCAGCTACCGATCTTCTGCAGCCCTGCTCTTTGTTCTTCTTCTTCTTTGGAACACCTTATCTTCTTTAGAACCCTTGGTGTCCCTGTTCTCTTTCAAAGGGATTCTGTTTATCAGATTCATGGATTTCATACTTGCCCACTAAGTCGAGGACCTTGTCAGGGATGATTTCCCTTCTTTTCAAATTGCAGGGGAAAGCATTTGTTCAGTTTTCATAGTGATAATCTGCTTAAGTATATACCCCAAGCGTCTGACTCTTCTCTTTTGAATTCTCCTTTTTGTCATTGAGGTCAGGGTTCTCAATGGCAGGTGCTTTCTTTTATCACAAATTCTGGGAGTTTGCAAAGTGAGAGCCATTTTTTAGTAGGAAGCAAAGTCTGAATTCGCTTTGCAAAGAAATTGAGGTTCCCATTGGCACTTTGAAGCCTACTGCTTAAGTCTTTGTCATTGTGTCAGAAGGTTGGGAAATTTGGGATACTGAAGTCATGTTTGCCAGACATGAAGTTTCCATTTTCTTGAGTGATGGATCATTAGGATATGATCATGGGTGATAACATTTTAATGGTAACACTGATGTTAAGGTAGTTTGTTCAAGTAGCTGTTGGAGAAGATTCTATGCAATTGAGCCGAGTCTATTTTCAAAGGGAGACTGCATCAGCAGCTACTCCTAATGGTAATAGTAACAAAATAGCTGCCATTATCATCATTATCATAGCCATAGTGTGTGATAATACCAGTAATTATAGGTGTTAAGCACTGTTCTAAGTGCTTTACATGTCATCTCATATAATCCTTTATAATAATTCTATGAAATGAGTGTAGTCTTACGCCCACTTTACAAATAACGAAACTAAAGCATAGAGTGGTTTAATAAACTGCTCAAAGGTACATATCTAGTAAGTGTTGGAACCAGCATTGGACGCTGGTGGTCCTCATCCACAGAACACACACTCAATAATTACACGACACTGCCTCTCCCCTAGTACTACTAGTTATCATGGTTTAGAGACACTTCTCTTCATAAAAACTTGGGTTTGGCCTTTGGGAATACCAGCATCCATTCTGAGTCCATAGCCTAGTTTTGGCTGTCCTTGAGATTGAGGGAGGAAAGGAAGTGCTTCCTGCAAAGACTTGCCAAGTTTTTGGAAGTTAAATTGAGCTATACTTGAAGTGACGTGGACAGTATTTCAATTCCCAGATGTTTTAGCTCTTTCTCTCACTTAGCAATTTGTTGTGGATAGCAGCAGGTTAGAGCAGAGTTGACAGCCTATAGGGCACACTCACATGTAGTGGGAGGAAGAGTGTTACCCTAAGCAGGGTAACATGTCATGGGTTGGACTTCAGTACTTATAGGTTCAACTCTTGGGCTGAACCCAATGCAGTTTCTTTCTTCTCTTCGCCTACCTCGGCATTAACAACAACAACAACAACAAAAAGCAACTCAAAACTCTTTCGTTTCTTTTGCTTACTGGAAATAATAGAACTTAAAACTCTTGTCCCGCATATTGGACCAAGTTATGATAGATTACCTTCACTGGTGGTATATATATCCATACCAGTCATATTTATATTTCTTCATTTTATTTACATTATTAGTTCAAGACAAATGAGATGGTTTGGGTATTTGGGTATTTGGTGTAGTAAGATTTTCTACTCACTAACAAGATGGTTCCCTTTGCATTTTTGACGATTTTTACATTTGGAAACACTTCTAGCCTTCAGAATCCAGATTCTTGGAAAGAAACACGAAGAAAGAATTAGAGATGAATTCTCACAGAGTAACTCTTTCTGTTTGGATATTCTCAAGGAAGTCAGAATTATTATTATTTTGATTAAAATCTGCAACCCGAAGTACCAGCTGCTTCATTTGAGTCAGGATTGCATTTTTAGAGTAATAGTCCTGTGGTTTTCATACATGGCACATAACTCTCACTGATTTCAATAGAGTTTTGTACATATTCCCAAAGGCAGAGATTAGCCTAGGTGTTTAACTTCAATTAATTTAATGCACAGGAGAGGAGAGATTATGTTACCATAATTGATTGTGTCAGCATTGAATAGTCCACATATGTCCACTTAGCTCTTAATTAGACTCACATTAAAGTTCATGGGGTTTAGTTAGGAGAAGGTGAGTCCTGTGCTTTATTCATCTTACTAGCCCTTGAGCCTAGAGCAGAGTTTGGTCCTCAGAAGAGGATCAACAAATGTTTGTTGAACTGAGTTGACTTTCGTCCAAATTTCGTCCATTGCAGCAATCCCTCTAGAGCATTTACTTCATCTACTAGTGACCTGGCGTACAGGGTAAAATTCTGAGTGCTGAGTTGTACTCATGTTCATTTAGCAGGGACCTAAGTATGGGAACAGACACACACTTTACACACAACTTCAGAGTTTAGTTTTTTGTTTGCTTTTATTATTAGAAGGACCTATGAAGATCGTCTACTTTAATCCCCCCTCACTACAGAGGAGTCTGTCCATTTTACATTGGAAACATTCCAGGGCCATATTTAAAATCTAAGGTCTTTTTTAAGGATCTTGTCTCTTACCTGGCAGAATATTTGAAGGTTTCCAGTCTTTCTATGTCATACGGTCTTTTGGAATTCCTTCCCCCAGATCTCTCTGCTGCTGCCATTCAAGCTGCTAGCACATAAAATCTTTTTAAAAATCATTAAGTTTGGGGAAAGCTACTTGCCACTAACTCTAGAAAATGTTTGATATGTTTTGAGAAGGGATTCTAGTATCAGTTCAAAAATCTTAATTGAATTGTAATTTTTAATTGCTTAGGAAGAAAACATAGACCTTCCAATTATTGATTTGAGGTCCACAGAGTAGCTTTAGAGCATAGCATGGTCAAGTAAATTTTGCTGACGGTAGAGAGATTCAACTCAAATGTCAAAATTCATAATCTTATAGAAAGTTTATTTGATGTATTAATTTTCTGTGCTATAAATACCTCAGGGCAACTTCTCATCTTTCTCCGTACCCACAGGGGTCTTCTTCTCTTGGTTCCTCTTGATGTTGGAAGTAAATGTTTGATATAAAGAGGATCTCAGGAGGGAAAAGGAAAGATGAAAAGTTGGTTGCTGGGTCAAACTCTTCTGAGCAGGGCATTCTTCATATTCTTTTTGGTTGGGTGTACAGACCTCTGGGGAAGAACTTTAGTTGGGGTAGATGGTTTTATCATTCCCAAGTTAGACAGTTTGGTTGGGGAAATAAGTTTTTTTTTTCTGAATAAACTTCACAAAACATCATAAAATCACAATGCATTGTACATTAATTCATGAGCCCTTCTTTAGTTTTTCCACAAATGAAAACATTTCCTTACATTGAAACATGAATGGTAATTTAAAACTGGTTTCATGGATAACTCATCTTCAGCCATTTTTTTCTCAACTTCACCTACTTATTAAATCTAGAGGCAGTGAGAGAGAAGTTTTACTGTTTCAATGCTGACATTCTCCCTCCCTGCATGTATGAACTTGTTGCTGCTATCATTTGGGAACCCCATGTATACAGGAAGGGAAAAATACCAAAACAGAGTCTCCGAAGTTTATTTGACGAGTGTCTGTTAAATTATATCAAACTTTGGAACAATACTAAAGTATACTTGAAAAAAAAAATAACGTGCTATATTTCCCCCACCAAGGAAAAATCTGATGACAGAACTGTACTTAATTTAAAGGACAGCATTAATATATGATATATAGCTGATTTTATTCTTTAAGGCAAATGTTGTTTTTCTGTATCACTTCTATAAGATCCGCATCTTGTAATTTTGAAATGATGCTGGTAGTAGGCTAACTTAGGGCTGAAGTTCGGGAAATAATATTTCTGACTTACATCTGTTGTGATTCTAAAGGAATTTTCAGTGGGATAGAATCCTACAGGATTAAAACAGATTTTTGGTGACTGGGCTTATCAAGAATATAACATTTAAAGGTGGTACTTTTAGGAGTAATCAAGTTATATGAGGAAAGTATAAAGTCTGATGGAAAATCTGATGGTACTGGAATGTTGATATTATCCCATTGTAAATTATAAGCTTACTTTAAGTTAAATACATCACACACAAAAAAAGGTAAATTTAATCCCTTTAAAAGTTAAAAAAAATTTACACTAACTCTTAAGTTATTTCTTGCTAAGAAGTATTACATAACTATTCTGAAATTATCTTTATTATTATTAATTGTTTTTCCCTGGACATTGGGTAACAGAAGACAAAGGAAATCGAGGTAAATTAGGCACATGGAAAATAAAAAGCATGTAGTCATTTTTCTTACATTTGTAACATATTTTGCACTAAGAGTAAATAGAAATAAATGTAAATTTGAAATAGCAAGCATGCTTGACACTAACCAATTCTTCACACTACTGTGAAATGGTAAATGTAATACCATTAACTAAGAACTTAGCGATGTTTGATGCACAGAGTTAAGTGTAAAACGAGGTTATTTTTATGTAATGAAACATTTATAAATTGTTATCTATTTTGATTAACATATAAGTGTACTATATAAAAGCACTTTGTAAGTGCAGCAGATACTATCATTATAATGTATAGCTATTGTCTTTAATGATAAATAGTATAACTTAAAAAACCTAAACATCTGGCCAAAGCAGTCATTTCTTCTATTTTTAAATGAACAACTCTTCTGCTTTATCGCTTTTACTAAAAGGTTTTCATTTAAAAAGGAAGGCTAAAAGAAAGCCAGTTTATTTCTAGAGTTTATTTTTATTCCCATTAAACTTTTTTTTAACTTTCTAAATTATCTTTCCTTTAGCGTTTAGTGAGTTTTATTGAATAATAACGTAAGTAGCAGCAGTAACATATGAGATCTTATTGTATGATGTGCAGCTATATGACAGATACTGCTTGCCTAGTCTTTAGAATTTTGAAGGTAACTATTTAATAAACCACTGTTTGTATTCGTAGAATAAAATGTTTCCTCCCCAACATGCAAAATTAAAAAAAAAAACACACATAAATAACCATTATCATTAGTTCACAAACATATGCTACGGACCATCTACTATATATTATTTTATAGCTTTTCCAATGTAGTTTAGCTAACATTTTAGAAATATGTATTATTTCTAAATTCATATGCCTGTTTAAACTTCATTATCTCAAATGATACTGACAGAATGTCATGAAACAGTATCATAATATACATATAGACATTATTTTGATGCAATAAACATGTGATTTTTAAGACTTTCTTAATAAACACACATGTTTATTCTTTGCTAAAACATGTTTCTGCAAGTGCCATACCTATATTTTGCAGGTTTTTACTTACCCGATTAAGACAGTCTTGCTGAAAACTTCCTTTGCTTTGAAAGCTTGTCTTAATTAGTAATAGAAGCCCTAACTCATTAGATGAAGCCACTGGTTTTCTTCGAGGAAACCTCTCCTTCACCAAATTGATAAACTGTAAAACATGGGTTTGGCACTGAAACATGCATTTTTATATTTTTGCTCCTTACTAACCAGATAACACATGAGATGCAATGCAACTTCCACAAAAGAAACCTTGCGTTATTGGTTATCTCTGTGAGCATGAAGCTATGTGCCCCGTATTCGATTTGTAGACACTGCTGGCATAGCGATTGCATCTTATGTGGGATATATCTGGAGTTTTATTATTTGTTTTAGAGTGTCATTTCAATGTAATGTGCTGTTCTTTGTGTCTTTGTTGTCTCTTTTTTTTCCTTGTCCCCCCAACAGCATTTTGTCCCGCACAGGGAAGAAGGAAAACCAAGATGCCTCCAATTTGACAGTGCCCATGACCATGTGTCTTTTTCCTGTGCCATTCCCACTCACCCCATCTCTAAGACCGCAGGTCAGTTCCATCAACCCTACTGTTACTCGCTCCCTCCTTTACAGCGTCCTGCGAGATGCTCCCTCTGAACGTGGCCTGCAAAGTCGTGATGCTCACTTGTCAGACTACCCTTCTTTGGACTATCAAGGCCTCTACGTGACTTTGGTGACTCTCCTGGATCTAGTTCCTTTACTACAGCATGGCCAACACGGTGAGCATTTAATCAGAACCTTTGAGAATGTCCATGTATGTTTATGGATGCTGGAGACTTGCTATTGGAATAAATTGCTTGAAAGGTCTTTGTGTGGCTAAAGCCTTTCTTAGACAGAAACTTAATTATGGTGTTTCCCATCCTGTCATTTTGTTGTTGTTGTTGTTCCTTTATGGCCAGAGGGATGTTATCCAGGAGGGCCTACATTTGGGGGGAATGGGCTTGGAGAGAGGAGTCAGGCTCTGAAGGAAATTGACCTCTCCTCTCCTGATCTGCTTGTCATGGAGAGTCTTGAAATTATGACCTGTGGGCTAAGATTTAGAAACTTGCCCCCCGCCCCCCATGAAATGTAAGAAGCGGAGTCCGAAGAGCAGGTCAAATCCACTGACAAATTCTGTGATTTATGGCGGGGGGCAAATCACAGAATCTCCCTGGGACTTACTTTTCCTGTCTTTTAAACCCAGGATGTTCGATAAGGAGAAATCTCTAAGAATTCTTCCAAATTTCACTAACCATCAATAGTTATTACAAAACATTGGCCATTGGTAGAGTGTGTAGTGATGCTCTAAGCTGTATATGGTATCTACTATACAGTATTAGGGTGCTTCTATTAAGAGCATGCTTCTTTTCTTAATGCTTTCCCTTTTTACAGTGTGTTTTAGTCAATTTCATTATCTTACTTGCTTACCAGATTCTTCTAACCCATAAAAAGGAGTGCAATAATATCATAATATCTCTTGCTTAACTATTCAGTATTATATTTTTGAGAATCACATGGAAAACCCATGCAATAAGAGAAGGGATTTTTGCAGAGAATGAATGTTTAAAACATCAGTTGTTTTAACTTTAAAGCACTGATAATTTGGTCTCTGGAAATATAATAACCAAAGATTCACTGTATAGAAAAATTGGAATTTGGGAAGCGGGTGGGTCATGGCGGTTATTTTACCTTTGAGTTGGGGCTAACTCTTCTAAGAGAATACTTAGTGCTTTATTTAGTAAGATGTGTTCCTAATGAAAAAATTTAAAAAAAAATCTACTTCCATAAAAATGATGAAATAATGAATATTGAATTTGTTTCTTCTTATATTTACAGTTCTGTATTGTAGTGAATATTAAAAAATGTACAGATTTGTAAATTTGCCTGTTGTATCATTTTGTAGCCGTTTAAGCCTGGTCACTTTTACTGGGATCCCATTCCCACTCAGAACTTAAAGGAGACGACTCTTTGAATATAAGACTGGCAGAGCCTACTGTGGTGGTGCTGATGGTGGGCTCGTCAGTACCTTTCCTTTGTGAAACCAGTCCTGAGGTTACTGTAGACCTGCCTGGTCCTGGGATGGGCCACTGTGTGAGAGCCCCTGGATTAAGATAAAAGTATTCAGTTTGGTAACTTACAACCCATTTAACTGCGATTAATATGTTAAATTATGACGATTTCAGGGGGTGTGATTTATATATTTGCTTCTTTTAAAAATTTTATTTTATTATGTTAATCACCATACATTACATCATTAGTTTTTGATGTAGTGTTCCACGATTCATTGTTTGCGTATAACACCCAGTGCTCCATTCAGTACGTGCCTTTTTTAATACCCATCACCAGGCTAACCCATCCTCCCACCTCCCTCCCTTCTAGAACCCTCAGTTTGTTTCTCAGAGTCCATAGTCTCTCATGGTTCATCTCCCCCTCCGATTTCCCCCTCTTCATTTTTCCCTTCCTACTATCTTCTTTTTTTTTAACATAAAATATTTGTATATTTGCTTTTATTCCCACAACTATGTTGTGACTTTACTCTTCACTGTTATCTATACACTGTGTTTTTGTTCTGCATAACAGAGCTTAGAAGAGAGAAAAAACATCACTAGACTACCCCTTAGGGGTTAAAAAGCAGTATAGCAGTGTTTCTTGACCACGTCAGAATCCCTGAGGGAGATTGAGATTTTCAGTGAGCTCTCTGGGTGATTCTTTTGTATCCTGACTTTGAGAACCCCTGCCCTAGGGCTGGAGGCTGTGTCCTCTGGGGGGGGGGGGGGGGTGGGGGGAATGTGGGGCACTGGCGAGGGCTGCATTCTTGTCACAGTTCTGGTACCACCTGTCAGGTGATCTTGGGCAATCACTTTCCTTCTCCGGGCCTTGGTTTCTTCATTTGAAAAATATTCCAGGTTGGCTCTCAGGCCCCTTTCAGCACTAATGTCCTGTAGTGAGACTGCAGTGCGGCCAGGGTGTCTTTGATGCACAGCCTCAGTTCATTCTTAGTAAAACACCTGTGAACTTTACGTCTCATCAACTTGAGCCTGAGGTTGACTGACCCTCACTCGCCAGGGTGCCCTGTGGCCTCATCCTCTCTGTTGTCAGTCGATGTGCTTGTTGAGATGGCATATTGATTCTAATCAGAAATAACATCCAGCATCAGAATTGCACGAAGAAGGTAAAGCTGCTGCAAAAACAACAAATCTAGTAATTTTCTTTTAGAATGGATAGGAAGGTGATCAAAGTCTTCATTGTCAAGTCTTGACTGATAACCCATCTACTGGGAGGTCCAGAAATATCAAACAATATATTCAGTATAATGGGATTTGGTATACATGCCTTCTAAAGCTAACTAGTTATGCTTTTTTTTTGGTGAATGTCCTCTATTTTTACTCCTTGTGCAGGTAATAATAGTAACATTATTCATGTTAATAATAATGGCTAATATTTGTGAAGCACACATTATGTGCTGTGTTAAAGCACTCTATATTAATCTCATTTAAGCCTCCTAACAGTCCTTCTAGAAGTGAGGTAGGTACTGTTCTTATCCCCCTTTAAAAGTGTTGGTGGGAAGATTATCATTAGGTGGCACATCCTTCCGTGATAATTCGTAACAAAATGCACAGGGTCACGGAGCGTCATTTACAGCTTCCTTTCGGCTGCTCTGCTGGAAGACACACGTTACCCCATTGCCCAAGACTCCAGATGTAGGAAGATTGTGTTTTGGTTGATGGAGCAGAGATAGCCTGGTTTCATTTCCAGTCTTGCCCTTGACTTTCATAAACTTCCAATGGGAAAAAATTTAATGGCTTTGTGCCACAGTTATCTTGTGTAAAATGTAATGGAGGTAAGAATGCTAGAGGATATTTCAGGATTCATGATCACATGGAAAGTGCCTTTAGTTTTTGAAAGCCAGGAATAATATGAATACCAAGTATTACTGAAGATTGATAATGGGGTGAGGAAAAGCTCATGAAATAGGTATTTATCTTTCTTAATGCAGTCATTCATCAGCCATTTATTGAATAAACCCTGTGTATGTACTTTATGGAGCATTATGTTTCAGAGGTCTTAATAGGAAGGGAGCAATAGCTGGTTATAATTTAAGCCAGTTCGTGAGATCTTAAAATGTAGAATTAACATATTTTGTTAAGTGGCAAAATATTCAGTGACTGATTACTCATTTTTGTTTTGTAGATCTTGGACAGTCGATATTTTATACAACTACATGTTTGCTACCCTTTCTCAATGATGATATTCTGAGTACTTTGCCCTACACGATGATATCAACATTAGCTACCTTTCCTCCATTTCTGCACAAGGATATTATTGAATATCTTAGCACATCTTTTCTACCGATGGCTATATGTAAGTTCAATCTTACCTAATACTAGATTCTTTTAATGCATTGTACGAATGGAAATTGCTTTTGCTGTTTTAGGCTGTAGATTTTCCAAGATTATAATGGAATCACTTGCTTGTATCCAGGTGCTATGATTTAAATTGTCATTTCAGCATGATTATTATGGTGAGAATCAAAGAAATGAATGATGATTATACCTTGGAATTGTTTTATTTGCATAATTTGGTCTCATAGAAGAGGAAGAAAACATATCAAGGCACAGTCTCTATTACCTACATCGAAATTATGGTATTTTTTGTCACTTAAGAAAAAAAGGTGGAGAGAGTGTTGCCTCAAGTATAGAAATTCTCATCTTTTGCATCTGAAGGCAGAAAAGTGTGATAGGAAGAGGAACAGACCGAGTGAGGATATACAGATCCCAGTTTCAGCTCTGCTCCATCCATAAATGAGCTGTGTGGTGTCAGGCATCTCACATGGGTGAGTGGAATGATGCCAGCATTAGCTTCCCCTCACAGGGATGTTGTGATGATGAAGTGAGTCAAAATGTATGAAAACACTTTGAAAGAAGCTAAGGCTTGTGACCCATGTACTAGGGTTTTGTTATAAATGTTGAGCTGATTTGAATTCTATTTCACTTTTATAGACTTAAGTCTTATAGGCTTTCTGGACATGAGCAAAGAGAAAAAACAGGTTGGGTCGTGGTCTTTGTGACCAAAATCCTTCTAAAGTATTTTTTAAAGAAATCGATTATGAATCCCTCTATGTTTCAGTGGGTAACCCGAAAAGATGGTGGATTTAGGAGTCAAACAGATCTAGATTCACATCAACAGCTCTGCTACCAAACCAGCTGTGTGGCCCTAGGCAAGTTACCCAACAGTTCTGTTTCTTCCCTGTAAAATGAGAATAATAATCCTAGCTGCCTGGGTGGTTGGGATACCTGAGCTGATTCACCCGGAGCACAGTGCCAGGTATTGACCAAGTGTTAGTTTACGTCTCTCCTTCCCTCAGCTCTTGTTCCCTTTAAATAACTTTATTGGTCACATTCCATTCCTAGTGATCATTTCTCACCATTTTAATTTTATGTCCTTCTGATCTTATTTAAGTTGTTGCTTGTTGCTATGGAATAATAATTGGTAAACATATGTACCTTTAAGCTCCATTACTTGCTTTACAGTTAAGCTTAATTTTAGCTCTGGAATTGTAATTTTCATGTCTTTTCAGCAAAGAGTCTGACTGCTACCTAAATTATATAGCAATTCAAAAGAATTAGCAGACTGATTATATGGTTCAAGTAATAGAATATTTGATCATTCTCTCTTTTTTTTTGTTCTGTGTAACCTGACAAGCACTTTGTTTATGGATACGGATCTCAGAATTGTATAGTTGTATTCACTGTTAAATTTAGGCATAGGAATCCTTGTTTTTATTTATTCATTCATTCATTTATTTTAAATTATGTTAGTCACCATACAGTACATCATTAGTTTTTGATGTAGAGTTCCATGATTCATTAAAGAATTACATGTGAGGTGCATCTTTGTCATCATAAATCTAATTCACTGTACCCTCCTTCTTAGGAATAAGTTAGTAGTTTAGGGAGAGGCGTTGAATATATCAGGCCCCTGCAGTTATGCCTCACACTGGTCAAGCATTGTGATAGCTGGTTAGTTGTTTTTTCATTCTTTTTTTTTTTTTTTTAGTATTTTTTCTTTATTTTTGACAGAAAGAGACAAAGTGAGAGAGGGAACACAGGCGGGGGGAATGGGAGAGGGAGAAGCAGGCTTCCCGCTGAGCAGGGAGCCTGATGCGGGGCTTGATCCCGGGACCCTGAGATCATGACCTGAGCCGAAGGCAGATGCTTAACGACTGAGCCACCTAGGCGCCCCTGTTTCTTCATCCTTAATCCTCATTAATTTCTACCTAATTAGAAGCACAGACCCCCAAAACATGCCTTATAGTCACATTAGAATCCTTATTACAACATCTGTGTGAATTTTAATACTTAATTAGTAGAGTGACTTGGTGCTCATTTAAATTATGAACAAGCTGTTTATGTCTCTGGGACTCCATTGTTTTGTCAGCTGTAAAGGAGGGGTTTGGAAAACATGTTCCATCTCGAAGATTATTTCTGGCTTACTAATTCTAGGTGAAAAAACATCAATCTTATTTTATGTAAGAGGCACATATCTTCCTCTAACCCAGTTGTTGATCCAGTTCATTTATCTTGTCGCTCTGGTTTCAGTTTCTTTTTTGTTTTTTTTTAAGATTTTATTTATTTGAGAGAGAGTACGAGAGGGGGGAGGGTCAGAGGGAGAAGCAGACTCCTCGCTGAGCAGGGACCCCCCCCCGAGACCCCCCCCCCGCGAATGCGGGACTCGATCCCGGGACTCCAGGGATCCCCTGACCTGAGCCGGAGGCAGTTGCTTAACCAACTGAGCCACCCAGGCGCCCTGGTTTCAGTTTCTTACTCCCGACTTCCGCTTCTTGTTACCATTCCCGTGGGTTGGGGAGTAGCCAGTTTTTGTCACCTTTAAATCTCTGAAAGTGAATGGTAGTAATACCCTTTAAAGGCACATTCTATTAAACGATTCAGGTGTTTCTTTTGTATTTGTTTTTTGCAAAGACACAGATCCAAAGAGAGAGGGGAGTGGGTTCCAGATTGATCACGTGAAAACGAACAGACGTGAGAATGTGTCTGTTGCCTGCATCCATGTTGTTTCTGTCTTTGGAAGTTGTTTCAGTGTCTAGAAATTCTGACCCAAATGAGAGAGAGGGGAGCATTTAACTTCTTCCAGGATGTTTTTATTTCAGGACTGAGAGGTTAGGATGAAGGAGGTTGCTTTTTCCAAGTACTTGACAAAAGTCGTCAAGACAAGAAGGCTTTTTTCTCCTTGGTGTGGTGTTTGCAAGGTCAAATGTAAAATGCGGACAGTTTTTAAATGTTTGTATCATTAAGAATCTAGAATATGAAGCTCTGAGCTCTGAAGTAGATCAAATGAAGCATCCCCGCTCTGTCAGTGTAAGGGCTCTGCATGTTTATCACTTACACCTTTCCCGTCATTGTTGTCAATAAACCAATGGGCACCTGGATGGCTCAGTTGGTTAAGCAACTGCCTTCGGCTCAGGTCATCATCCTGGAGTCCCAGGATCGAGCCCCACATCGGGCCCCCTGCTCGGCAGGGAGTCTGCTTCTCCCTCTGACCCTCCCCCTTCTCGAGTTCTCTCTCTCATTCTCTCTCTCTCAAATAAATAAATAAAAAATCTTAAAAAAAAAAATAAACCGAGTACCATGCCTTTATATTAAATAACTCCTTTTGAGGTGCTGCAGAGAAAACTTCAATTTATTATCAAAATTTCCTTTGACATAACCTTTGCTTTTTAACTCCTTCCATAAATAAGATACACTTCTTTGTATTCCAAGTGTGTGCAGTAGGCTTTGTTTATTTCAAAAAAAAAAACATATATGAAAGAATTACTAAGAATTGAAAAAATCATTAGCATTTCACCATGGAAACCTCTTTTTTCCAATAAGGGATTTGTGATTTGTGGACCAAATTAAAATATGGATGTTGGGCAGATGATAGGGATGTTGGCAGAGAAGAGAAAAGCAGATCCCAAATTAACATTAATTGATGTAGGCTATATTATTTCAGTGATATCAATGAGCAATGATATCAGTAAGAGACCCTTCTAGTGCATCTTGGTAGCCCAGACTGTGCAGTCTCATGCAACTTAAATTTCCTCAAAAAGTCATTTGCCCTTAGGAAAAATAAATGTTCATTCAGATCTTTGCATTGGACTTCAAAGCAATCCTGTGGTTTAACTGAATATCTGGTTCTAGACCATTGGCCCTGGATCATTTTTGTTCTACTACTACTACTATAGAGGATGTGTGTGATGTTTTTATGATCCTCCAAAAACTAATAAATATATAGGAAAAAAGACAGAACCCAACACAACGTATTGATGACATTTTAATAGTCTTCTATATATGAAACCTGTTTTATTAGATAATGATCCTTTTTATAAAGTAGGTCTTATTATATTGTAAGAACTTTATTGTTTGTATTGGTGGAAATGTTTTGGAATAGAAATAGAAGAGCTGAATTGTTTAGTCCTTCGATTCTTGGCAGATCTCTTAACCTCATCAAACTTCAGTTTCCTTAGCTGTAGAATTGTGAATAATCATGATCTCCCCTGCCTACACCCCATGTTTGTTGTGAAGACCATGAGATAACATACAGGAATGGCCTTTGGATATTGTATCACGTTAGACAAATGTATAACAGACCAAACCCGTAGACATATGACAGACATGTCAAATCCCATTGCAACTAATTCCAATATTCTGCTCATACTCACATGTTGTCCTGAAGTTGTATCGTCTTAAATATTGCTGGAGAAAAGGGGCCAGCCTCTGGGGCTTGGGATTTTTTTCCCCCTAGAGTTTGTTGTATAATAAACAAAAATGGCTATAATAGGCTTTGATCTCATAGAATCTGACAGAACACCGCTGCATTTTCTTTTAAACTAATCTTTTCACCCATCGTGGGTCTCGAACTTATAACCCTGAGATCAAGAGTTGCATGCTCTGCCAACTGAGCCAGCCAGGTGCCCCCACCTCTGCGTTGTTGATGGGCAATCTTATCTCTGTGATTTTCATTTATCTAGCAGTCTGCACATCTTTTAATGGTGCACTGACTTTCGGGTCATGGTGTCTCAGTCTTCCCATTATGTTGAACTGATATGCCCTTCTGAAGGCACAGGTATCTTGTACTCAAACCCTTTCTCAAATACCTCTGCTTACACAAACAAAACACTTGCTAATGCGGGCAGTGCAATCTGGCAAAGCACAGGAAATGGTTTTGTTGTATGGCACCAGAAAGTGTTTCTTCTTTCCAGATGACTCTCATACTTTTACCCCTTACAAAAGTATAAGGCTAGTAGGGTTTATTTAAATATATTCCAATTCAGACTACTCCTTACCTCCATCTCTCACCCAGACCTGTCCAGTAGTTTCTGAACTGGTCTCCCTGCTTCTACTCTTAGCAACCCTACAGTTGTTTTCCACCCAACAGCCAGAGCTAAGCTCCGAACACGTAAACCAGACCACGTCACTTCCTTCATCACATTCCGTCACTCTGACCAATCAAATTCAGCGTCCTTCCCTAGCCCACAAGGCCCTCTGTGCTCTGGCTACTGCTGCGACCTTGTTACTTCATTACTGCCCCTTCAGTGTTGACTCCGTGCAGTCCGCATTGGCCATTCTGCAATTCCGTAAAGACACGAGGATTTTCCTCTGTCTCAGGAGGCCTTCTCCCAAATGGTCCTACTATCATTCTTCCTCACTCTCTTTAGGTCTCAGCTCAAATGTCTTATCTTTTGAGATGCCCTTCCCTACCCTCAAACTGAAACAGAACCTTCCATCACTTTCCACCTATCCCTTTGCCCTGCTTTGTATTTCTTCACGGTTGTTTGCCTGTTCCTCTAGAATGGCATTGTCTGTAGAAATTTCCGCAATGATGGAAATGTTTTATAAATTTCTGTGCTCTCTAATACACTAGCCACATAGGGCACCTGAGCACTTGAAATGTATCTAATGAGACTGAAGAACTGACTTTGTAATTTAATTGAAGTTTAATTCACTTAAATTTAAATAGCCACATGTGGCTAGTGGCTACCATATTGGATGGCATAGCTTGAGCATTTAAGCTCCATAAGGACAAAGCCTTGCCTGTCTTGTTTATGGCTGTCTCTAGAGACAATGCCTGGTACGTAGGAGGTATGGAAAAAATATTGAATTTTTAAATGAATTTTGAACATTGCCTATGAAGTCAAGTGACTTGGGCTGTAGTCCTAATAATTAAGTTGGTGCTCTCATGCAAATAGTCTGATTCCTCTTTATAAAATGGCTTTCCCCATATATTTATTTATTTAAGTTTTATTTATTTATTTATTTGAGAGAGAGACAGTACAAGTGGTGGCAGCATGGGGGGAAGGGAGAGGGAGAGAGAGAGAGAATCTTAAGCAGCTCCACACCCAGCATGGAGCCCGACACGGGCTGGATCTCACAACCATGAGATCATGACCTGAGTGAAATCAAGAGTTGGACACGTAATCGACTGAGTCACCCAGGCACCCCTACTTATTTATTTCTTTTGGTGAGAATCATATAAGAGCTATACATGATAGTACATTAGGAACTATAAAATGCAGGAACAGATTAAGGAATTGTTATTGCTCATAGAGGAAAGGGATGCTGATAATGGTTATTCTGGTGGTGCCAGGAGAATCAAGAAATAGGTCTTAAAACTTGTAATTGTATTTCCTGAGCACAATATTAAGTGTAAAATTTTCTTATTTTGATTAATTCTCTTCTTCCTTCCATTGTATGTAGCTTTGGCTTTATATACCCTCATGGGGACAAGCTGCACATCTGTTTACATCATGCATGCCTTTTTACCAAGATTCAATAAATCATGTGTGCCTGTGCATGTTTATTAATTAGAATTGCAGTGATTTTATTCAGTCTGTTAGAAGGCTAAGCAACTGCAAGGCACTGTCTGTTTATAGAGGTGCTGGAGCCAGTTTCCTAGGGCTTGAGCCAGGGGAATGCTTTTGGCTTTGTGGTTGACCACACTTAAGGGAGAGCATGGATTTGTAGGGGTAAAAGAGACAGCCAAAGGTCACTGAGCCATTTGGGCTCTTCTCCAAATAGACCTCACCTAAATCATCGAGACATTTTGGGCATTTCTCCCATTTTTAAAGGCCTCCAGGCACAGGGATTCTCAGGCTCTCTTTATAGTTTTTATTTTTTTTTTTAGAAACGTTTATTATTAAAAAGTTTCAGATGAATTTCAACAAAGGTGAAAACCCTTGTCCCAAGAGGACCATATATATGTATATGTATATAATTATTTAAATATATGTAATTATTTTTCCTCCAGTATGTCAGAGATAAGACTTTCCTTCCCCAACCCCCACACTCCCTTAAACAAAGGGCAAAGGGCCACGCCGTTCTCCCTCCCACACCTGTATACCTTTCTTATTTCCCCTCTGGTGATGCTCCTGCCACCAGGCTCAGGGCCCACCTGCGTCAACACCACTGATGTGGGGCGCCTGGGTGGCTCAGTTGGTTAAGTGACTGCCTTTGGCTCAGGTCATGATCCCAGGGTCCTGGGATGGAGCCGCATGGGGCTCTCGGCTCAGCAGGGAGGCAGCCTGCTTCTCCCTCTGCCGCTCCCCCTGCTTCTGCTTTCTTTTTCTCTCTGTGTCAAATAAATTAAAAAAACAAAACAAAATAAAAAAAAACCCCCAACCACTTGATGTGCTTATTAAAGCTTTTCTGCTTCCAAACTGACAGAGTTAGATTCTAGATATGAGCCCCAAAGCTGAATTTGAACAAGCTCCCTGGCTAAAGTCTGCGAACAACTGCATCTTGTTCTTTAGGATTTGACTCAAAGTTCTCTTTACTTGATTAATCACACTTGATTGACCAACTTTACCATCTAAGAGCATTGACCTGATCTGCATATCTTTGTATAATTATTAATACTCATTTATATTGCACAGCCAAACTAGTTTATCTACCTGACTCTCGCCTGCTTGGTGGGGTAGAAGCAGCCCAGCTGCAGATGATTAATAAAAGCAAATTCAGGTAAATGGAACCTGAATAAAACTAATGATACCTCTGTTTTAGTTTTTTGCTTGCTTATTTCTGTTGTGGCGCTCAAAGTCTTTCACGCGAAGAAAAGAATAGAATCATGTTAAATTTTCTCTGTTTTCCCTAATGTTATTATATGACAAATCTTATATTCATGTTTTAATGGTTCTTTCATACATGTGTTTTATTATAAGTTGCCTTATTCTTTATGGATGGAGGTGAGATATTATTTCCATGTACTGCACTTTAATGTAAAATAAAATAAAATAAAGCAGATTTGTGGGTCATCTGCTTTTTTGTTGTTGCCCACATTAGTGGTTTTCTCCATTGTGTGTAGGACATTGAGAGTTGGCTAATGGAGGGTGTCATACTCACGGGACACCATTCTGCTCATGCTTTCTTGACAATTTGTCACACAAGCCTAACTATAAGAAGAGGTTTCTCCTACTTCTGCAATTATCCCTGAGAAAAGGAATTCATTTTATATTTGAGTAATTTTAAAGCTTCTCCCATGTGAACCCTCTCTCAATTACTGGTTAGAATAATAAAGTACTCTTTGGAGACAACAACTTTTTGGAGTATGATCTTGAATGACCTCCATCGGTGCTAGTTTTGAATGCTACTTGGAGTTACCTGATATGCCACTAAAAAGGAGAGGGAAAGAAATATAGTGTTGGATGTCATTGTAAACAAGCCACTTAAGGATGTCTTAAAAGCAGGATGTAAGTGGTTATCATGTATCATGGATACACAGCTGTAAGATGGGTTTGGAAGAAACCAGCTTGCTTTGTAACTGAATACTTGTGGCACAGGATAAAATGTTCAGTGACAGTGTTATTCACAGATTCAAAAAGTGCTTTCTTTCAAACAACTCAGTTGGATATGGAGATGGTAAGCTCTGGAAAGCTAAAAAAGTTATTCTCATGGTGATGGAGATGCTGCTGATGACTTACATGTGAAGGTTTGAATAAAACTGTTTCATGATCTGTGAGAATTGAAAATAATTTTTAAGTTAATATATAATTTTTTATAATAACGTGATTTGAAATTTCTGTGTGTGACTGAATTAATAAGGTCCCCATTATAAGCAGACTATTATTTCATCTGCCTCTCTAAAAGTTAACACATTCAAGTTAGGTTCAAAATAAATAAACCTTTTATTTTTATGTTTTTTTAAATTTAATTTAATTTTATTATGTTATTTATGTTAGTCATCATACAGTCATCATTAGTTTTTGATGTAGTGTTCCATGATTCATTGTTTGCGTATTTTTACTTTTATTGGGATAACCTTCGACATGCCTTTAGGGCACGTGGAAGATTTTGTTTTTCCTTTCTTTTCCACCTAGGTATAAACATCTTGGGAGCAGAGATCACATCTAAGTACATCTCTGATAAAGCCATTACATCACCTCTGGCACTGTTTCTGCTTCTTGTAGATTCTCACGAAATGTTTGCCATTGATGATGACAGTTGCGGCATTTCTATGCTAGGCCAGATTTTTGTGGTTTTATTTGTGCAAAACAGCCATTGAATTGGTTGAGACTTTTTTTAAAAAAAGTATCTTCCCAGCTCTCACACTATATGCAAAATAAGAATTATATATATAGATTAATTGTATCTAATGAAATAATGTTTTGTTTCAGTGGGTTCTTCAAGGAGAGAAGGCGTTCCTGCCCACGTTAATCTGTCTGCATCATCCATGCTAATGATTGCAATGCAATACACATCCAACCCAGGTCAGTGGAAATTCGAGTGGCTTGATTAATTTCAAAAACAATTGTTAAAGATGATATGAAGTGAGTAGGCTAGAAATTCTCATGTGAGAAGAACTCCTCTTGGTGGATAGACCAAAGGAGATGTGTTACAAGACAGACTTTTGAGTTGAAATAACTTCCCCTTGTCTTTGTTATTAGCAGTAATCTTACTGGCTAGTGATATTTTTAGAATGTTTGGGGACACAATTTTAGGACATTGATTAGAAATTGAGTACAAGTGTATAGGAATAAGTTAAATTAGAACTATAAAAATCACTGGGATTCTAATGATTAAAGATAACTACTGTTAATATTTTGTGAATTTGCTACTCTAATGTCACACAGGTATCCTTGAGCATAATTTTTTTTACTATGTTTCTGATTATTTCCTTAGAATAAATTCATAAAAGAGGGATTAATGAATTAAGGGACTTGAAAAAATTTTAGTAGTGTCACTAATTATATATGAGAGTACATTGTAACCTGTCATCAAGTACTGTAAAATTTGTATTCTGTTAGACAGACAAAAAATAATATATTGTTTTGACTTGTATTTCTTCAGTACATAGTGATTTGGACAGGTTTCATTTCCGTTCATCAGTATAATTACATAGGAACTTTGGGAAACTGACCTAAAAAGGGGTTGACTGTTGGCATCACATGCTAAGATGTGAACTCAGTTTTAATTTTCATTTATTGTTGATTTGGAAAGTGAACAAATTTGGTGGCACTGTTTCCAGCCTTCTACTTAATTACATTATAAATAATAATTAAGTTTTTGACACAGGGTGAGGAAAAAATGTTTCATTTTTTAAAAAAAGATTATTTCTTTGAGAGAGAGTGAGAGTAAGAGGGTAGGAGGGACAGATGGAGAGGGAGAGAGAATCTCAAGCAGACTCTGTGCTGAACGCAGAGCCTGAGGGCAGGGCTTGATCCATGACCCCGATATCATGACCTGAGCCGAAACCAAGAGTCTGAGCCACTCAGGTGCCCCAGAAAGAATGTTTCATGTTTAAATCTTAATGCTTTTTCGTTTGGAGTGTTACCCTTTAAATATGAAGTGCCTTGAGTAATTGAGTCATTGTATGAGTAATTCAAATATATAATTTTTGGAAGTTCTATCTCATATCTCACTCTGGCTTAGAGGACCCTCAAAATGTCATTTATATTTCTTATATATTATATTTCCAAAACACCCTTCATTTGGAGTCTAGTAAGTTGAAGTTTCCTCCTGAGGCTTTGGTCCTAGTTTCTAAGTTGGGAGGCAGTAAAGCAGGGGGCCTAAAATCGTGTGCTTTGAGGTTAGAGGTCTGTGGGTTCATGTCTGAGCTCACCAGAAAATTGCCAGTTAGTGTTAACTGTCAACTTCCCTAAGATCAAGTTTCCTCATTTCTGAAGTGGGAATAACTATTCCTATAGTGCCTAACATGTCATGAGCATTTGATGAGTTTGGTGTATGTCAAGTGCTTGCCTTACATAGGGACGGGCACATTGTAAATGCTCAATAAAGAGCAATGCAAATCGCTATGATCTGCCATTTTCTTCTTGGATTCGAGTGTTTCGCTGGGAACCACTATGATCAGACTGCGTTACTTCTTTTATTTCCAAATCTGTATCTTCATCTGTTCATGGAGAATGTTTGTAGCCAGCTCTTCCATGCTAAAAATGGCATTTGGGACCCACAACTAGTGTTGTGTTGTGGGAAAGTGTCAAGAGTGAGGTGATATCAACCAGGGGGCTCTCAGGGACCCAGTGGTAGGGCTCCATTTTCTTTGAATTTTTATGGGGAGGCAGCAAGTAGCATCTTGGTCCTTGTAGCCCGTGGCATATCAAGGGTGATGCACAGCCCTTGTTCAACTAACTAAGTCCTTTGTTCACGGCTCTGAGCTAGACATTGTGAAAACCACCCAGAAGCGTAAGGCATAGTGCTTGCTATGGAGCTTATGTCTCTTTGGAAGTATTAGGCATATTCACATAAATCATTAATTTACAATGTAAGGTAATATGTGAAAAGTACAAAATAAATACTATAGGTAGTATTAATTCATCAGACGGAGAGAACTCTATGGATTGAAATGATCAGGGAAATCTTTGTGCCCCTTGAGCAAAGTATGGGTCTTAAAATATGGATAACGTTTTGATTGATAGGGTAAGTGGGGGGGCAATCTGGGAGGGCAAGCAGTTTACACAAAGGGACTCTCCAGGTCTGGTCATGGGGCAGTCAGGGGACCGCTCTGAACTGTGACAGACATATGGAGAAAGAGAAACTGGCCTGGAACATCTGTACTTGAGAACTCACTGATGGCTTAAGAACAAAATTCCAATTCTAGAGGACTATTTATATATTCAATAAATAGTCACTGAATAACTAGTCTGTGCCAGACACTGGAGACATCCTGGTTAGCAAAACAGAACTGACCTCTGCCCCTGCCTCATGAAACTTATATGGTAGTGGTGGGAGAAGACATGAATTAAATAATTATAAAAGCAGATGTAAAGTGGCTCAGTCAGTTAAGCGTCCAACTTTTGATTTCAGCTCAGGTCATGATCTCAGGGTCGTGAGATCAAGCCCCGCACTGGCTCCTTGCTGAGCATGGAGCCTGTTTAAGATTCTCTCTGGGCGCCTGGGTGGCTCAGTTGGTTAAGTGACTGCCTTCGGCTCAGATCATGATCCTGGAGTTCCGGGCTCGAGTCCCGCATCGGGCTCCCTGCTCAGCAGGGAGTCTGCTTCTCCCTCTGACCCTCTTCCCTCTCATGCTTTCTATCTCTCATTCTCTGTCTCTCAAATAAATAAATAAAATCTTTAAAAAAAAAAAAAGAAAAAAGATTCTCTCTTTCCCTCTGCCCCTTGCCCCCACCTCTTCCTCTCTGGGGAAAAAAAAAAATAGCAAATGTAAAGTTTCAGCTGTGACAAGCTCTTGGAAAGATGTACTTTTGCATAATGAGCCCCTATAAAAGGGGATTTCCTTTTATTGAAGAGGTCAGAGAGGGCTTCTCTGGGGAAGTAACCTTTGCTTTGAGGACTGAGGGATGAGTAGCATTAACAAGGCTACAGGGGGTGGGGGATTCAGGTAGAAGAGTCTTGTGTGTCAGAGGGAAGCCTGGCAAGCAGGTGGGACTGAGAGCTTGGTATAGCTGGAGCTCAGAGTGAGGGCTGCCTCCTGGGAGGTGAGACTGGGGGTGTCTGTGGGCCAGAACATGCAGGATGTATGGGCTCTGTTTGGGAGTCCGGTGTTTATCTGAGTCTAATGGGAAGGCACTGGAGGACTTTGGGTGGTTGTGTGTATGTCACCCCGACTGCAGTTGAGAATGGATTACAAATAGTGGATGAAGATTGACCCAGGAGGAGCCATGCCATTTGTCTGGGCATGTAAAAAAGGCAGGGGCAAGTGAGACTGCGCAAAGTATGTAGAAAGTAAAATTGATGGGATTTGGCGACTTATCAGATATGGTGAATTTTTGGCTTGCAAAACTGAATGCGTGGTGGTTCTATTCATTGAGAAAGACACTGGAAGAAGAAAACCAGGCTTCTGAGGGATGCTTACGAATCTGTTTTGGGCATCATATTCGAGGTGTCTCTGAGACATTTAAGAGGAGATGGCATACCTTGGACTAATACAGTGTTCCATGTCAATTTTATCTCAATCGAATTGGGAAAAAACCTCACGCATAATCTCAATAATAATTCTATATGTCCAAAACACAAAAATGTGAATAAATCAGCTTCCTTTAAAAAAAAAAAAAAGCAATGATAATTAGGAAGTTGTATTATGAGCCTGGAACTCAGTATAGAGCTCTGGGCTAGAGGTGATGAACTTTGAACCTACACATAAGTGTCCAATGGCCTTATGAAATTGCATATAGATGGTACCTGAAGTTGTATATGAGTGTGAGATTGCTTAGGAGAGAGCATAGAATGAAAAGTGGAGTGAGCTTATGATCAGGCTTTCGAGAACGCCAACGGATAATGGTCCAGTGGAAGAGGATGAGCTTGCCGAGGAGGCAGAGAGGTTATATCTGTCAGAATGTGTTGGGCTGACTAACAGAAGTTTTGAACTCTACGAACGTTTGTTGTTTACTTGTTCTTTGTTTACTTAGTAGGAAGTCTTACAGATAGCGCCACAGTAGCAGGGGCCTGAGATGGCGCCATTGTCTTTCTCTTGGACTTCCCCTCAGGTTTGCAAGATGGCTGCCACAGTGGGGGTTATTTTATTCTTACCCAGTCACATCCACAAACAGGTAACAGGATCAATCAGGGTAATTAGAGGAAGGTCTCCTGTTGTGGCTCTTTTATCACAGAGAAGAAATATTTCAGAAGTCCCCCTTCTGAGCAGATTCTCTCTTAGGTCTTACTGGCCAGAACTGAGTCACACGGCCATCCCTAGCTCCATGGGGGTCTGAGGAAGTATCTTGCTTTGTGGTCTGTGCATTGGGGGATGGACAAGGAAGAAAGGTTGTTGATAGCAGTTGAGTAGCAACAACAGTGTCTGCCACAAGTAATAGGAGAGTGTTAGTCATGAAGTCGAAGGAAGAGAGTGTTTTGAAAAGGAGACAGGAGGGCGCCTGGGTGGCTCAGTTGGTTAAGCGACTGCCTTCAGCTCAGGTCATGATCCTGGAGTCCCGGGATCGAGTCCCATGTCGGGCTCCCTGCTCAGCAGGGAGTCTGCCTCTCCCTCTGACCCTCTTCCCTCTCGTGCTATTTCTCATTCTCTCTCTCTCAAATAAATAAAACCCCAAAAAAAAAAAAAAGAAAAGGAGACAGGAGTCTGCAGCACTGAATGCTGCTGAAGGTCAAGTGAAAGGCAGACTGAAGTATGTCCGTTGAGTTGAATGACATAGAGGTCATCAGTGACTAACGTGAAACCTGCTTCAGGGCTATGACAGGGTTGGATGACAAATTCGGGAAGATATAAAACAGGTGTCTCACTTGGTGGAGGTATCTTTTTTCCCCAAGTAAACATGAGCAAATGAAAGAAGCTTGCTGTTTCGTAGCTTCTAAGAATTCCTCAACGAGGTAAACTTGGTGCCTGAGTGATGAAAGACTCCCGTGCTAATCCATCAGTCTTTCATTTGCTATCTGTCTAAACTTGAGCAAGATAGGAAACTAAGCTAAGTAGGTTTCCTCACTGCAACATGGTGGTTATGAGATAATATGTATGAGGCTCTTAGCACAATACCTGACACATGATGAACACTCAATAAATGTTGCTATCAGGCATTTTTTTTTCCTGTGTAGTTCTTGATTACATTGATGTAAGTTAATATTATATAATTATTATTACTAGGGATTGTCCTTAATATTTCTTTTGTTAAAAAGTTGAAGGATCTTAGTAAAAAGCTTGATAAAGTCAAGGGCTTACATGATTTTTGAAATGTATGAATACTATAAGGAAATAAGTAATTTTTAATTTTATTGACAATTTTTATTATTAAAAAATTTTATTATTGAAGTATAGCTGACATACAATTATATTAGTTTCAGGTGTATGAGTTAGTGATTTGACAATTCTGTACATTATTCAGTGCTCACCGTAATAAGTGTGGTCACCATCTGTCACATACAGTATTATTACCATATTATTGACTGTATTCTCTGTGCTGTACTTTTCATCTCCATGACTTATTTATTTTATAACTGGAAGTTTCTGCCTCTTAATCCACTTCACCTGTTTTGCCCATCCTCCCACCCACCTTCCCTCTGCCAACCACTAGTTTGTTCTCTGTATTTATGAGTCTGTTTCTGTTTGTTCGTTTGTTTTGATTTTTAGATTCCACATGTAAATGAAATCATAAGGTATTTGTCTTTCCCTGTCTGACTTATTTCACTTAGTGTAATATCCTCTGGGTCTATCCATGTTGTCACAAATGGCAAGATTACATTCTTTTTTATGGCTGAGTAATGTTCCACTTTATATATTACATACCACCTTTTCTTTATCCATTCAGCTATTGATGGACACATAGATTGCTTCCATACTTTGGCTATTGTAAATACTGTTGCAATAAACATAGGGTTGCACATATCTTTTTGAATTAGTGTTTTTGTTTTCTTTGGGTAAATACCCATAGTGGAATTACTGGATTATATGGTATTTTTCTATTTTTAATTTTTTGAGGAAACTCCATATTGTTTTCCACAGGGGTTGTACCAATTTACATTCTTGCCGACAGTACAGAAGTGTTCCTTTTTCTCTACATTCTTTTTTTTTTTTTAAGATTTTATTCATTTATTTGTCAGAAAAAGAGAGAGAGAGAGCACAAGCAGGGGGAGTGGCAGGCAGGGGGAGAAGCAGACTCCCTGCTAAGCAAGGAGCCTCATGTGGGACTCGATCCCAGAACCCTGGGATCACGACCTGAGCCAAAGGCAGACGCTTAACCAACTGAGCCACCCAGGCGTCCCTTTCTCTACATTCTTAACTACACTTGTCATTTCCTGTCTTTTTGACACTAGCCATTCTGACTGATAAGAGGTCGTATCTCATTGTGGTTTTGATTTGCATTTCCCTGATGATTAGTGCTGTTGAGCATCTTTTCATGTGTCTGTTGGCTGTTTGTATGTCTGTTCAGGTCCTCTGTCCATGTTTTAATCAGATTATTTGTTTTTTTTTTGGTGTTGAATTGTGTAAATTCTTTATATGTTCTGGATATTAACTCCTTATCAGATATATTACTTGCAAATATCTTCTGTTTGGTAGATTGCCTTTTTGTTTTGTTGATGGTTTCCTTTGCTGTGCAAAAGCTTTTTATTTTGGTGTGGTCCCAATAGTTTATTTTTGCTTTTGTTTTCTCCCCCTGAGGAGACCTTTCCATAAATATGTGGCACAGGCCCATGTGCAAGAGATGACTGCTTATGTTTTCTTTTAAAAGTTTTATGGTTTTAGGTCTCACATTTAATCCATTTTGAGTTTATTCTTATGTATGGGTAAAGATACTGGTCCAGTTTCATTCTTTCGGAAATAAGTCACTTCTAATTTGATGATTAGATAAAAAGTCTTACTAATATATTATTATATCTCAAAGGATATTTTATCTGACGTTTATAATTTGTGTTCAAATTATATTTTCTTCCTTACAGTGTATCATTGTCAATTATTGGAATGCCTCATGAAATATAAGCAAGAAGTCTGGAAAGTAAGTTTTGGGCCAAATTTAACTCATAGCCACAAACCCAATTTATATAATGGAGTGAAAATATTTTGCCTATTAAAACAGGTCGAATATATTGATGTCTTTTTATTTTGATGTGGCAGGACCTGGAATTGTTTCCTTCCTGGTTAATTTATTATTTAAAGCAGAAATGATACTTGAAGAACACAGTGGCCTGACAGAAAAAGTAATTGGATAGCTCTTATTCTTAGAATTTAGCAAATACTATATTACATGGCAATTTTATTTCATTTGAAATGTTGCTTGAGAACCTGTCTTCTTTCAAATAGGAGATGTGGATTGTTAAGAAATGGGTTTTAGGAAAATATGTGAAAAATGCAGTGTTTGGCAAACTGGTTCATGCTATTCTAAAGTCTTCCTTTAACATTATCCTGGAGTAGAGAAGAATTTGTTAAAAGACAGTGTAGTTTTGATCTTTACCTGGAAGGGAGGGGAGGTGCTTATTTACAGGATCCATAAATCAATAATAAAAAATGATATTTTAATATGATCTCATCTGAGAAGCACACCTGGATGATGAGATGCCAGGGGCGGGGTGGGGGGCGGGGAAGGAACCACCCAACCCTTCTATTGGATTTTACACTGCTTTGGTAATGTTGAATGAACTATTTTCATCTTTATTTGATGATGCTAAGTTAAAGTATGCTTCCTGCTTCCTCTAGGATCTTTTGTATGTGATAGCCTACGGGCCTTCACAGGTGAAACCTCCAGCTGTGCAAATGTTGTTCCATTACTGGCCCAATTTAAAGCCTCCTGGGGCAATAAGTGAATACAGGGGCTTGCAGTACACAGGTAAGGAGGAAATAACCCTGTCATGCCCCATTTTTATTTATCTTATGCCACATTTACCTTACCGATTTATTATTTTTTTAAAAATCTGGCTGGATTTTTATTTATATGCCTTTAGATATTGTCATTAACCCTTTCTGAAACTGGGTGGTATCAAATACATGGATGAAAATTGATTTCAAGAGCCTCTATGACACCATAGCAAATTGCCCAAGTCTCAGTCTTGCTTGCGATACACCTGGACTGGGGTTCTAACTATGGCTAACCTTAATCAGATGTGTGAACAGCGGGTGTTGCTGCAGATTTGCCCACCATTTGGCAAAACCCCAACTGGCTAATTCTGCTTGGATAAGAAGACTTGCATATTTGACATTACCAGTTCATATGCTAAATAAAAATTAAGTGACCCTTCCTGTCTAGTTGGACAGGAAGAGTCAACAATCAGTGCATATTTGTATAACTAATAACTAAGAAATAGACATTGAATTCGAATGTAAAGTCTTACACGTACCAAAAAACAAACAAGCGTCAGGTCCTATGTGTTGTTTATGTTTACATATTGTAAAATCAAAGAGGGAACCTATGGCTAACGGAGTTTCTGATGCCCCTGACTACCCTCTCCCCCCATTTAGTTGTCTATATATTTTTATGAAAATAGGCGAGGGGGATATTTTGGCAAGGTTAGCTTTTATTTGAGTTATTGTGAGATTCTGCACTGATGCTCTGAGAATCTCCTTTCTTGGTATTACTTGTCTTTCCAAAGGTGGTTTGAGCTGGTTCAAAGGGGATTTAATTTAATTCAGGTGTCTGATTTATGTTCCTGATTAAAGCCAAATGTTAGAGATATTAACACCTGTTTTTGGGGCTTTATTGGGCTTTGGTGGGCTTATTCTAAATTCAGAACAAATAATATTGGCTTTAGTGGTAGCAATAATGTTAATTAAAACAATGAAGGTAAATAGTACCTTTTTAACAAATGGAAATTGGTATCATTGGCATTTTAAATCATGGATAGTAGGGAATGCTTAAGTGTTGCTAAGTGGATAATTTGTAAAAACAGGAAAAAAGTTGGAAGATTAATAACATAGATGAAATGGCTGAAATATTCAACTTCTCAGTAGATCCCTGAAATAAGCATTTACATGATATATGAATGGAGAACTGGTATCAAATGAAATTTACTTACTTGATAAATATTTGAAGAGTTTCTTTTATGAGCCAGGCACTATTTCTTGATGATGTAAGAACCAATTCAGAACCAGACCCCATGGAGCTTAATGCAATTTGGAGATGGAAATTGAGTCACTTACTCAACAAATATTTATGAGGCGTCTACTATTAGCCGGGTGTTATTCTAGCCACTGAGTGGTAAAGCAATGAAAAAAAGCAGACCCAAATCACTCATATCTCGGCACGTACATTCCAGTTTTCTGGAAAAGACCAGGAAACCATTTTATAATACAGAGACCTGTGGAAATATGCAGCAGGGGCCTCTGAACTCCCATGATGGTGGGCAGGTTTGGGGAGGGTTAAGTTGTCAAGGAAGGTTTTCAAGTGAGTGACAGGTAAGCCGATACCTGAAAGATAATGCACACTCTGGATGTCAAAGGGAGAGTGAATCATGAGTGGATAAAATGTAGATTTGAGGCAGAAGGAATAGCATGGGTTCAGACTTGGAGGCCAGAGATAGCATGATCCCATTTAGGAACTGAAAAATGTTATGTGTAGCCAGACAATGGAGTGACAGGAGGAGAGCAGCTAGAGATAAGCAGAAAGCCTGGCAGGGCCTGTGAAGAAGTTGGGAAACCACCGACAGGTTTTAAAGGGAGAAACCAACACAATGAGGTTTGTCTGTTCAGAATATCCCAGAAGCCTCGCAAACTGACAGTGGCTTCCATTTACTCCCGTGACAGTACCCTCTGGGAAGAGCCAGCCGAACCTCTCTCCCCAGAATAGCTCAGTCTATGCCTACAAAGATCAGAGCGACTCTTTCTTCTTCTCTTGGCCTACCTGAACAAGATGTCTCTGTCTACTGGCATCCATCCTTCTGTCCATTCCTGTGATCATACCTCCACCCACTTCCATTCTTTCAACCGTGTGGCATTATGTGCCTGCTACCTGCCAGGTACTGTCCAAGGTCCTGGGGAAGCAACTCTTTTGGAATCCCCATTTTAGTGGATCATGGCATTCTGTACAGGAAACAAGAGATCATTGGAAAAAATCAATCATTCTGGTCCATATATTACTATTTATCTAGCACTGGCTGTTTGTCAGACATTGTTCTAGTTGCTTCCTTTTCCCAACTGAACACAGTTATGGACCAAGCATCCTATTGGGTCTTATAGACATTTTCTCAGTCCTCAAAAAAAAATCTTGAGAGGTAGGTTTTCTTGTTTTAATGTTGCAGGTGATGAGTGGGACACAGAATTTGAGTGACATCCCTAAATTCACACAGATAATAAAGGAACACAGCTTGAATTTGAACTTAGATTATCTTCATTGAAAACCCACATTTTCCTGTTCTAACAGTATGACATCACTTCTGTCAATTCAGTTCTTTTGTTAAACTTTAGCTGGAGCATTAGAAATTTTCTACAATGTCTGCCACAGTGAAATATGCGCTGAAGGGTATCATCAGTATTTAGATGTCACTCCAACTCTAAATACACATTATTCTTAATGATAAAAATTATATGGATCCAGAATTTTATGGGCTTGGAAACTCAAAGATAAAATACTTTCTTAGGGACCAGCAACTTTTATATACTTTCTGAGTGATTTATTTCTTTTTTAAAAAGTAAAATTAATTTTTTAAAAGGAAACTTTGCTTTTAGAAAAATTACAGAAATATATAATAAGGAAAAAAATATTGCTACCTAGAAATGACTAGTGTTAACATTTTGGTATATTTCTCTCTAGTTTTTTTGATGCATATTTTAAAACAAAATGAGTTCATATTGTATATAATTATACAAGGTTTCCATCCCAAGCTTCTATTGTGACATTTTTAAAATACAGAAAAGTTTAAAGAATAATACTATGAACACACAGCCATGTAGATTTAATAATTGTTAGTAATTGACCATTAGTTTAACTGTACATGTATGTGTATATAAGTTATTTGTTGCTTTTTAGGCATAGTAACATAGGAATAATAGGGGCTTATATGAAGAAGATCAAACACTGAGGATTTGGTAATCTACAGTGTTTGCCTCTTTTGGGCTTGTTGCTATTTATCAAGAACAAAAACTACTTCAGTTATTTTGGTCATTAAGTATGAGTCTTAAAGATGCAAAAATTACAGGAAGTTTCTTGGCAATGGAAATAGCCATTATGTTGTTCTATAAAGCTCTGCTTCTGTGGGGGGAGAAAGAAATTATTTAGCCTTTTTTTGGTGACTCTGTCTCAACTAGTAAATAATTTAGATCAGCACCAGTTGTTGTATAGTTTCTATCTGAACTATGGACCAAAAGATGTGGCACAAGATACATTTCCAAGACAGTTTGTTGCAAACGTGGTAAAGAATAACTAAAGATAAGCACTACAAGGTTAGACTTTGGTCTAGGCTACCAGATACCTAACTTTATATTAGTACTGTTGGATTCTTGAGTTGTATACACATACCAGAAGTTCTACCTTTTATGTTGCAACTTCTCCATTATTGAGTTCTTGTTTATCTTTTTGTTATTTTATTTCCACAAGCTTTAAAAAGTGTTTTAAACCTTTTATATTTGTACGTTATACGCATGTGGAAAAACACACAAATTACGGGGAACATCCTCCACCATGTTTACCACCATGATTACCTTCTCCTTCTATCCCAAAAGTAACCACTAAATTGACTTCCAACATCAAAGATTAGTTTTGCCTATTGTTGAATTGTATATGAATGGAATCATATATTATTTATTTGTGTGTGCACGCACGCGTGTGCATGTGCGTGCATGTGTGTGTGTGATTTGTCTATGGGTTGAGCATAACTGTGTTTCATTCATTTTTATTGCTATATATATATTCTACAAAATGAATGTACCTCAGTGGATGTATTGATTTTACTATTAATAGATATTTGGGTTCCTGCTTTTTGGCTGTTACAGGTAGTTCTGCTGTGAACATCCTTCTATGGATGTTCATCCTTCTATGCACGCATGCACACACCTCTGTTAGGTATATGCGGAGGGTGGGATTGTTGGATCAGAGGGTATGCATATATCTAATTTTTTTCATCTCCCCCTCCCCTGCATATATCTAATTTTGTTTGCAAACAGTTTTCCAAAAAGGGTTGTACTAATCTATACTCCCATTACCAGTATATGAGAGTTCTTTTTGTATATATTCCACATTTTGGGCAATACTTTATTTTGTTTTCAGAATTTTAGCCATTTTCAAGGGATGTAGAAGTATCTTATTGTGGTTAGAATTTGCATTTCCCTGATTACTAATGAAGTTGGGCAATTTTTCATGTATTTATTGGCTATTTGGGTATCTTTATATAGTCTTTGTCAATAACATATGTTGCAAAATATCTTTTCTTATTTTTTTTTACTCTGTAAATGATGACTTTCGATGAGGTGAAGTTCTTATTTTAATGTAATCACATTAGCAATCTTTTTCTTTATATCCTAAGAAAATCTTTCCCTATACCAAAGTTATGATATTATTCTTTGTTATCTTCTAGAATATTTGTTTTTTACCTTGTACATTTAGATGTATCTAAAATTAATTTTTCTGTCTGGTGTGAGGTAAGGGTCAATTTTTTTCCTCTATGGATAATCAGTAGACTCAACATCATTTATTGAAAAGATTGCCCTTTTCTTACTGCTAGTACCATTTTTGTCATAAATCAGGTGTCTATTTAAGGATGGTTCTCTTTCTGGATTCTTTATTTAGTTTAATTGGTATATTTTTCCTTTTCCCAAAACCACACTGTCTGAATTAATGTAGTTTAATAATAAAACTTTATATCCTTCAGTGTGGGTCTTTCTACCTTGTTGTAATTGCTG